GTCATGGGAGGTGTTCGTGTATAAAAGAAAATTTTTGTTGTGTAAGTTGTGGAAGGAGTTCACGTATAGACGAAATTTCCTAAGTTGTTAAAGGAGTTCATGTATTAAAGAAAATTTTCCTAAGTTATGGAAGGTGTTCACGTATAGATGTCTTGTATGGAGGAAGCTGTCGGAGGTACATACCTGCAGTTGTACATATATATGGGGTGGTCGGCGGCGTAGTAGCGCATAGCGATGCGTCGTCTATATTTCGGATTGGGATGATGAGTGTGTTTGGTAGCACTTTTAAGTGTAACAGGCATACTCAACTTCATGTCTTAGTGCATTAGCGCTATGATACGTGGAGTTTTGTTCATTGGCGTCTTAGTAGCGTGCTACTATGATACGTTGGTGATATTTTTTATATAACAACAATACCAACTTTGTTACCAAAGTCGATAGGAGTCATGTGGGTGTGTTGTGAGGGGGCGCCACCCGTATGATAGTTGCTTTGATGCTTTCTGCTACTTGCGGTATTGCGTCTTGTGATGGATCTGCGGTTGTGCTGCGCCTGATTCGACGCTCTCTTGTGGTTCTGGTCGATGGAGGTATGCGGGTGGTGATGTCTGCTGGGATGTATGGGGGACCTTGGGATGGTGTAAGCCCGACGATAGTCGTATTGATGCTTGTTGCGTTCTGCAGCATTGCGTCTCTGCGATGGTTGTTTGGTGGGACGCTATTCTCAATGGCGCTCTCTGCGTCTTGGTTTGACTCACACCTAAGTAGCTTTGCCCAAGTCGGGTCCCTTCATTGCGGGGCTGCAGACTGTCTGCCCTCCACAATGTTTTATATAACAACATAATATTATATCTCTGTAACTTTCCCACCTTTGAATGATTGAAGGCAACTTGTTGGTGGGTGAGACAAACATGATCGAAAATGCATTTACTCAACGTCAGTGACACAAACCCTTTCTGATGGCGAACTATTACTCTTATCTTATAACTGCCTTTTGGCTATATCTGCCGTTGTATTGGTTGGTGGAGCATATGTGTCGACCTCATGCGGGTGGTAGCTGGCGGGAGGGTCTGAGGAGACTCTCAAGGCTGCGGCCGAAAGCCGCACAACGTGGGACCCCATTCCCTTGAGGTGAGCGGTAGACTCATGACACGCTCTGCGGCTAGTAGCCGTGCTGATCATGCAACTGGTGGTGATGCCATACACTTACATCACGTCTGCAGGAGCGGCGGTCTGGCAGGTGGTGGCACTCACGGAGGGTTTACGGCCAGTGTGCCTATTTGCCTAAACCGTGTGACGTACATTCACTGTGGCTGGATTCGTTCGTATTCTGTTTGGCGTTTACACGCATTGACATGCGCGACTTCGGTCGATGTTTGTGCTTACGCACTAGCAAGGGGCCAAGCCTCTTTTACTGGTTCGCCAGTTATTTTGCTGTGGACTACGGTCCAGTTCCCGAATTAGCTTTCCCTTCGAGGGGAGTGCATCAAAATGGTTGGCACTCACCGTGCACGGCGTGTGTGGGGCCGTGTACCTCCCCTGCATTTTTTTTAAATAAATGTAGGAGAGCGAAGCCCTTGTATCGGGTATTTTATATAAATATATTTTGAGCCTTTTCCGAGCGGGAAGGGATAATTAATAATGTAAACCTGATGCAAGTGGAATAGGGACGTTTTATGTTCTTAACCTTTTTCGAGCCCTGTCTTCGTGAACGGGGTTCACTTAGCTTATAAGGTACTACCAACAGCTTTCAATTGCTCTAGTGAATATTCATTCTTCCAAAAGACCCCTAAAAGAACTAAGTTACTAAACAAACACAACGTAAATAAGGGTCCTAACTAAGACGATCACGCCAAAATAATAAAACCGGCCTATTAATAAACCTTTTGAAAGATCATTTAGGAAGATCAAAACATATTTTATTTATCCTGGTCACATATATATAATTTTTATCGAAAAGGGGTAAATTAATTATATCTAATATAATTATTATTATGAGAGAGGGGGGGGGGGAAGCGTTACAGTATGTATTGTAAAATCGCTGGTAGACCCAATAAATAAATAAATAAATAAATAAATAAATAAAAAATATCACCAACGTATCATAGTAGCACGATACTAAGACGCCAGTGGACAAAACTCCACGTATCATAGCGCTAATGCACTAAGACATGAAGTTCAGTATGCTGATAACACTTAAAAGTGCTACCAAACACACTCATCCTAATCCGAAATATAGATGACGCATCGCTATGCGCTACGACGTCGTCCACAAACGGTATGGGTGTGCGATGTCCACGGGAAAGCCGTATTGCTACAACAAACCCGCTTACCACCAGCACTAGGATGATATGTCTAGGACACATCGGTTAGCGAGTCCAAGTTTACCTCGGACCAATTGCTCGTGAAGCAGCATACACGCCATCATAATATTCCTTTTCAAGTCCCTAATAAGGACTAGTCATTTTGCAACAGTACTAGGAGCAGTCGGTCACCCGACCACCCCACACAATGCTTATGCATCAAGGAGACCTCATATAATATTGCTTTTGTATCATAGACCTTACTTTCATAAGTCATGCATATATAGGATTCGAACCCATGACCCTACTATTGTAATGCAAATTCATCATGGAGACCTTCTATAGTATTGCTTTTGTATCATAGACCTTACTTTCATAAGTCATTCATACATAGGATTCGAACCCACGACCCTACTATTGTAATGCATATTAATCACAGAGACCTTCTATAGTATTGCTTTTGTATCATAGACCTTACTTTCATAAGTCATTAATATATAGGATTCGAACCCACGACCCTACTATTGTAATGCATATTAATCATAGAGACCTTCTATAGTATTGCTTTTGTATCATTGAGTTTAATATCATAAGTCCCTAATATAGGACTAGTCATTGTGCTACAGTACTTCAGGCAGTCGGGCTCCCGACCACCCCATATATATGTACAACTGCAGCAATGTATCTCCGGCAGCACCTCCATACAAGACATCTATACATGAACACCTTCAATAACTTTCTTTTATACATGAACACCTCCCATGACTTAAACAATTTTTAACAAATTTTCTAATCGTTCTTCTTATAAACGTTATTTATCTTTATTTTATAATATTTTTTGACTTGTATTCCTATTATTTATCTTATTTTAAACATTTTTTCAAGTTTTAAATAAATTTATTTATTACGAAAAACAATAATTTTGCGTTATTGGGCTAATGTCTGAAATATATTTACTTTATGTTTATTAATTTAACTTAATTGCTTAATATATATCTTTTAAGACTATTTTTGACGCCCCTTTATATTGAATTTAATCATTAATAATAATATTGGGCCGTCACACCATGAAAGAAATATTATTTTAAATGACACATCATTTTAATAATTTTTTTATTTAATAATTATAATACTTCATTATATAATATATTTCATTAAACATATATTTATTACGTCTTTATTGAAGTAACAAAATGTATGAATATGAAACTGCATACTTTAATAAAAAGGCAAGTTATGGCAACGGCAAATAAACAAAATTACAAATGGCAGATCCCTTGCGATTTTTTTACATGGGGAAATGCCTACGCATACCCGCCTCGCGGGGGCAAGGACGGGTTATGTCGGACTCGCACCGACTAAAACCCCATGGTGTTCCACCTTTGTCGCACAGGAAGGCGCACCAGAACACACGTACGTTTTTTACGTGGTAGAGCCATGCTGCAGTTATATTAGTAGTATAGTTGTAGCACGAATTGGGTCGGCTCGACCGGGGAAGGACCACGCTCTCACAGAATACCAGCGTGAAATAGTAGCTTAATGCTGCTGTATTTCGTATGGTGAGTGTAGAGAACCGGAGACCCTTTTTACTGGAAATGAGGCATTCCATCTCAGTCCTCACGGGTGACAACGCATCTGCATTTTGATTTGTAATGGAAGATAGATGTAGATGTCTATGGGCCGCAGCAACCACTTACCATCAGGTGGACTGTGTGCTCGTTTGTCAGCCTATTCTATTAAAAAAAAAAACATGGCGCGCCTTCCTTCTCGGCCTCTAATCACATCTGCGCAACGGACGCCCCCGCGTCCAATGCAAGAAGGCCATGGGGCCAGGAAAAACAAGCACTTAGAAGTACTAGCCTTCCCGACCCCAGCGGCGGATCTGGTCTATGGCTCCGCCGCCAACCAAGATTCGGCTGCGGAGGATAGGGAGAGCGGCGCCTCGCAATACCGACAATCCTCTCCCCCCGCAGCCCCACCACCACCGCATCAACGGTGCGGCCCCGTTTGAGTCGCGGAGGATAGGGCGAGTGGCGCATCGCCATACCAACACACCTCTTCCTCCGCGACTCCACCTCGGCTGCAGCGATAGGTGGGGAGGACACACCTCTCACCGCAGTCCACCAACACACATCCGAAGTGGGCTTCCCAAGCCCACTCGGAGTGGCCACCTCGGGCCGGCCCTCCACCTCGGACCAGCCATATGGGTTCCTCTTTGTTTCGCCGTGGGTGACCAAGCCACGGCTTCTAAGCCCCCCCGCCACGACAAGGCGGGAACCCGTTCGGGGAGGAGATCACATTATATAATAATAATAATAATATAGCTCCATTTATCTTGAGGGCTCCATAGCATATGACCTATCCATCTCCACTTCATTTGGTCCATCTTGGTGAGAATATCTGTCACACCTGTGCTTGTTCTTATGTGTGTGTTTCCTTGCTTATCTATTTTTCTGATTCTTAGCATGCTCCTTTTCATGACTCTTTGACAATGTTCGAGCATATCTCTGTGCTGCTTAGAAAGTGCCCAAGTTTCGCAGCCATAAGTAAGTAGTGGTGGTAGTGGCTTAAAGCAACATTCATTAATAAAAACAAGTTGTATTTAATGTTTATAAATTTATAAGGCTGTTTGAAATTTAGAGATAGGTTGATCAATGCTGGGATACATGATATAATGATTTGATAATCTCTAATTTTCAGATCACATTAGTTGACCTTAATTTGGAACAAAGGAATGTCATTCAACATATTGCGGGTCCATCAACTACTAAACGACCACTGTCTGAAAATATTCAGAAGACTATAACTGTTCCAAATGTATTTGAGCCAGTTGCGGGTCCGTCAAAATGTATACAACCCTTGTGTGAGAATGTGCATTACAAGACCATTCCTGACAAAACTAGTGCTATTCCTCAAGTAACTGAGAATATCAACCCTGTTGCTGCTGCAAATCCATCCACGAAAAACAAAAAAGATAAAGATATGTTGATAAAAATGAAATATCATCTGAGAAAAATTAACAGGCTTCAAAAAACTGTAAAGCATCTAAAGAATGAAGCATTTCTCAAAGTATTAAGCAAAAATGATTCAGTAAATGAAATATTAAAATGTAAAATATCTCCCTCTTTTGCATTATTTTTGCAAGGAGAATTGCAAAACTATAAAAAAATATCAAAAGGTCGAAGATGGAACATGGACTCCAAAATAATAGCACTAAGACTGTATAAAAGGTCACCTAGGTGTTACAAATTATTAAGAAGGATGATTTGCCTACCAACACCTAGTTCATTAAAATCGTTATTAAGCAAGTTTCACATGAAAGTTGGTATTAATGACCAAATTTTTAATGTTTTGAAAAAAAAAATAATAAAGCAACAGACTTCCTCAGACAATTAGTATATCCTTATGTTTGATGAGATGTCAATAAAAAAAGAATTTGTTTTACAACAAAAAGGAGGACATAATTGAGGGTTATCAAGACCATGCATTGCAGGGCAGGTCACCACAAATGGCAACACATGCCCTCGTGTTCATGATTGGCGGAATCCGTAAAAAGCTGAAACAACCAATTGCTTATTATTTTTCTAGCGGATCTGTGACTGCAGATAGGCTGTCAGTTCTTATAAAGGAGGTGAGCATTATGGTCTTTTATTTGTTATTATGTCAATATATGTAGTAGTACTTTTTTACCGTATTAATTTACCCTTTTATCATTCTAGGTCCTGCAAATTGTTTTGATGCTGGAATTAATATTTCAGCTACAGTGTGTGATATGGATGGTGTGAATAAGAGAGCTTTAAGTGTCTTGGGAGCATCTGTAGAACAGCCATATATTCTGCTAGTAATCGAGAAGTGGTTACCATTTTTGATACTCCGCATTTGCTCAAATGCTTTAGAAATATGTTTTAAAAATATGACATTAAATGTCCAACAAATATAACATCAAATGATCAAAAAGGATTTGGTAAGATATTTTGTTTTATTACAATTTTATACATATTTCCAACTTACTGGATATTTACACAAATGTTTTTACAGGTGTTGCTAAATGGAGCCATATAAGAGTTTTATGAAACAGATAACACCAATCCCAATTTTGTGTTTGCACCTTGCTTAAAACAAGAACATTTAAATCCAAATACGAAGCAGAAGATGAAGGTGAAGCTAGCTGCACAAGTGTTAAGCCACTCAGTTGCTGCAGGAATGTATGCTAAAATTTCACAAGGTAAATTAAATTTATAATTTAAAGTATAATATTTAAACATATGTCCACCCATTAAAATAATTGTTAACTTAAAAAGGAACTAGGCTCTCCCAAGTACAAATTATTGTTTATTGTGTGATATGTGATATTTTTTTTTGAGTTGTCTTGTAATGTACTTTAAATCATATTTCTTTAATCCTAATAGTAAGATCTTAAATTATGTATTGTTTACAGGGGAACCCTCTTCAGAGGCCGTCACTACTGCTAATGTTATTGCAAATATGGACAAGCTGTTTGATTGTGTCAACGCATGCACACCAGACCTAAGAAGGGGGAAACCATTTTCGACAAACATGACAAATAATATACCACATCTCAAACATTTCACTTTAATGAAGTTTTTTTTAAAGAAATGACGTTTTTGGGATGTAAACGAACCCCTCCATCCCAAGAAGGTTGGATATGGTCCATCAATGGAATAGAAAGAATCTGGAGAAATCTCAGGTCTAAACATAAATCAATAAAAAGTTTGGAAACAAGAAGGCTCCAGCAGGACCCGTTAGAAAATCTTTTTGGATGCATTCGGGCCAATTGCGGCTGCAATTCAAATACCACCACTGGGCAGTTTGTTGCGGGTCTTAAAACGGCTGTCCTTAGCAACTTATCTTTTATTGGGACAGGAAATTGTGATGAAGACCAAAATCAAGTTATATTGACAAATTTATAACTTTATTGTCTCCAGCCACAGACACACACACTGCTTATGCTACAATTTTAACCGATGAGTTAGAAGAAAGTGTAAATTCTACATTTGAATGTAGCTTGGAAGAAAGCAGTGACGAAATACAAGCATGTGTATGTCTGTGGGCTTATAGTAAAAAATAATCTCAACAAATGTGAAATTTGTAAAAAAATTTTTGTATCTGAGACACAAGAGAGATCACATACTTTTATTGACTAAAGAATATAGTGATCTAAAAAAGTCCCTTAAATACGCCTCTAAAAACCTCATCAACTGATTTATGATTTTTAGAGGCAGAAGCATATAAAAAATTAAATTAATTAATTAATTATCATTAATATATGTCCTCTCGAGAGAGAGGCTGCCAAGGAGTGACTAGCGCTGATGAGGCTACGGATGTGTGTAAAAGTGTTCCTATAGTCCGATAAGTGGTGAAGGTGAAACACCTGAGAGTTTTAGTCGGAGTGGGTCAGATATTCCTTGCTTCCGCGAGGCAGGTAGGATTTAAATTGAAGTTTTTTTTAAATTATTTGTTATTGGATTTTGAATATAGTATTTTCGAAACTATCACCTTACTGGTGCGAATCATACCTTACAGTATTTTTATCGTTTAATGTCGGATAGTTTATTAGTCACTCTACAAACAATGGTATTGCTTTGCAACTAACTTTTAAGTTAATGTTTAATTAAGTTTAATTAACTTTTAAGTTTACTGTGGGATATGGATAACACATACATTTGTATTTTTTTATAGAATTTAGCAAGTAAATGCTGTTACACTTAGACATCTACCTGTATTATCGAAAAATAATAAATAATAACTACTTAACTATTAAATCGATATTTAGTTAAGAGCTGTTGAGAACTGTTTACATACATAAAGTTAAAAATTAGTTAATTACTACGTCACTTACGTCCATCAATGTACCAACGGTTTTTCTATGTACCAATGTGGACAAGTACGTAATGTAAATAAAAATTATGAATTTCAAAAACCACTTTTATTTGAAAAATAATTCCTTTTTTATATTAAAATGATTGCTAATCGTTTCAAAAGTGGTTTATGAATGTAAAGTACCATAATTTACAAATAACTTTGTGCTTTTGTTTTCGTTTTAATTTAGCAATATATATCATTGAAACGAAAAACTACAAGCTATATCTATCTATATGGTATTTTACATACTTAAGCCATTTTTGAAACGAAACAACCAAGACGCCAACTAAAAAAAAATCACGATTCAAAATTCCCGCGCAAAAAATTTTTAGTGGGGGCACGACAGAGATGGAGTGCATTATGGGTGCCATTTTCCTTGTTTGAAGTTGACATTCTTCCCGCCTAAGGGTATTAGTGTTCTGTGGTCATGGATCTGGCGTGGCACGGTTCACTTGTTGTATCCCGCTACTAGCTCATCCTAGACTATTCGGATAATTAATTCGTGGAAACGAATTAATTATTATTATCAGCTATTAAATTAGTCTCAGTACCATTTATAGTTCTTAACCTGTGATCCGTGTATTTCGTGATTGTGGGATAAAGTCCCCGTTTTTTTGCCCACATTTAATATTTTGTGATAAACTTTGTTATCCCTTACATAGGAAAAAGTCGACGTTATTGTCCACGTTTAATTTGTACGGGATAAATTCCATGTTATCGGTCACATGGGATAAAGTCCTCGTTATTGCCTACATGTGATTTTTAATTATTATCAGCCATTATACTACCATATTATATTACCATTTTACTAATTACCTTTGTGAAAGATTATAATGCGCTTAGCGTTGATACCTTTGTTTATATTTAAAAAGTTTAATGAATTTCGCTATCCTACTTGCGATATAAAGTTTATCATTAAAATATAGAGTGAAATTTAAAAGTGAAGTCTTAATCCAAAATTTAAATTATTTTGTTTGATTTACATATGTCAAAATTACCCGCGAGTAGTTTCATAATTTCTTAACGTACCTAAATATGTTAACAAATGTCGAAGGAAATGTTGGGAGCTTCCTAGATGAGCTATAATTTGCATTCAGCGAAAAACTAACTTTTGCCGGACCAAAACTGATCGGTGTTGCAGGGGTCAAAGGAACCGGTCCAATACTAATTGCCTAAAGAGTCGATGTAGACCGGACCAGAGCTGATTGTTAACACCTGTGAGTATTCTTCTCTCTTATTATTGTTATGAAGTTCTGGTTATTCTCAGAGAAAATAATAGACCTTTAACAACTTATGACGTTGTTGAGTTATTTGGAAAAGCCCATATCAAGTGCCAAACGGGGGTTCGAAACGGGGTTTCAGAGTTGGAAGCGCTTAGCCCTTTAATCGAAATGTAGCATATAGCGCCTTCGTCGACATGTTTAAGTTGCCGAACGGCGCCGGAGACAGCCGTAAGGTGTTGAAATTATCCGCTCGCATGATTTCATTTCCAACAGTAGAAGACAATGCAGTAGACGGCCAAATGGCGTTGAAATGATCCGCTCGCGTAGTTTCATTTACAACGGTAGTCGTATGGCGCAGGAGACGGCCGAATGGCGTTGAAATGATCCGCTCGCATGGTTTCATATCCAACGGTAGTTGTATGGCGCAGGAGACAGCCGAACGGCGTTGAAATAAATAAATAAATAAATAAAAATTGTTTATTTCGGACAACTTGAAATCCATAGGAATTGTTAGTAGAGAAAAACTTACATCTATGTTAGTAATATAATTTATACATTTTTATTTTTATTTTAATATTTAATTATTAAGCAGGACATGGTCCTGGAGATCATTTTTTTGATCAGTGGACAGTCCCCACTGTTGGCAATCTCACTCAGTACACTGTGGCCGCTGTCGCGCAGTCTGTTTAGCAAAGATGCGGTCTTTTTCCGTATTATTGCATCAACACTATCCACACCCGCCAGTGCAAACATAGCGGAAGCGCTACAGTAGCGCGGCAGCCGCAACAGCGCCCTGAATGCCTTGTTGTATTGAGTACGTAGGGCACTATAAGTCTTTTTGGTGTAGTTGGTCCATAGACTGCAAGAATAAAATGATGCACAATATGTCTTGAAAAGCGTGATCTTGACAGCGTCAGTGCAACGACCAAATCTATGCACCAACATATTCGCCCTGACCGAAAGTGCCCTACGTTCTCTTTCAATGTCTTCATCGTCTTTAAGGCTGTCGGTCACAATATGTCCAAGATATTTAAAACTATAGACCTTTTCTAGCGGTTCGTTATAAAGCTTTATAGGTGGTACCACACTAGGATATTTACTGCCAGCCTTAAATACCATGAAATGCGACTTTTCGGTATTGTATCGTAAACCATGTGAGACAGCGAATTTTTCACAAACACCGAGTAGAGCTCTCATCGCACTAACTGAGGGTGCCAGCAGAACCATATCGTCCGCGTAGCTGATATTGTTTACACACACCTTGCCGATATGGCAGCCGACACGCATGCTGCTGAGCTCTCGAATCAGTGCGTCCATATACAGGTTGAAGAGCCTCGGTGATGTCAGCCCCCCCTTGCCTAACCCCGCACTCCATCCTGTACGGCTCAGAATACTCATTCGCCCATCTCACATAGTTGACTTGGTTACTATACCAATACTTGAGTAAATTGGTGTAGCCACAAGGTAAACCTACGCCTTCTAACTTACGCCATAAGATGTCGTACGAGACAAGATCGAAAGCTTTACTCAGATCTAGGAAACAGGCATACACTGGGGTGCGCCTGTCCGTGTAGTATTTGACAGTATGCTTTAAACTCATTATTGCTGTTTCTGTTGATAGACCACGCGAGAAGCCGTGCTGGCCATCATGTAGCATACAGTGGTTTTCTAGAATAGCATTATAAAAATAAGCATACTGTCAAATATCTTGGCTATTGTCGTTGCCAAGGATATTGGTCTATAGTTCGATCTCTCTGATACGTCACCAGTACGGTTTTTTACAATGGGGACAACTGAAGTCCTCATTAAGTCGGCAGGCAAGTAGGTATGCGAGACACAAACATTAAATAATAATGCCAAAACTCTAGGTAAGTGCACACCTGTATATTTAAAGTGCTCAATACTGAGACCATCGTGAACATTAAATAATAATGCCAAAACTCTAGGTAAGTGCACACCTGTATATTTAAAGTGCTCAATACTGAGACCATCGTGACCGGGTGACTTACCTGCAACCATAGTTCTAATAACTCGTGCTATCATTTTGTCACTTGCTACCATTTTGAGTTCACGCTTGGTTTCAGCATTGGACACGGGGTGTGACGACGGCCCTAAGGGTGACGTGACCATAAAATGATCCCTGAAGAGATTTGCAATTTGCTTCATGTCACTGACCCCATTTACTGCTTCAGGAAGACTAGGTCCAACGTTGAGCTTATTCGTGGATTTCCAAAACTTCTTAAAATCTTGTTTTGAATGATAACTAGCCAATTTATCCATTTTTAGTTGATTTTGGTGGTTTTGGCACCACTTCAATCTACTCTTGAAAACACGGCGGCTGTTAACCATCTCATCATAGACAAAACCCTGCCTCGGTCGACCATACCATACCCACATCATAAATTTGGACCTAGCCTCTCTGTGTGCCTCACTGACATGCTTATTCCACCCTATTAGCACACGTTTTTTCTTTTTACACATATTTCCTTGGTGAGTGTTGATTGCTGCACATGATAAAACAGACACTATGTTTTTATATAAATTGTCTATGACACTCCTATGACTCATATCGTCACAAAAACCATAGCTACATTTTATAAATTCTGATGGAAAATGTATTGACTTAAGGTTGTTGTTACATAATTCTGTATAATGAGTTATTTGTTCATCATTTCTGCAGCCCCATTTTATTTTATTGCACGCGATTATTTTCGGAACAGCCTTAGGTATAACATAGTTCAACCTACATTCAATCAAGAGTGGGAAGTGGTCAGACCAGTACACATCATATAAAATCTTCGTGTTATTTATTAACTTATACGCTGACTCAGTGACTATACAGTGATTTAACCACCTCCCAGTCCCATGCGCGTCACTGACGTATGTAAATGAATTACAGTCTAGGGTACTCACGTCGGCACAAAACCAGTCCTGTTCCGCGCAAAAGTTTTTCAGTTCTTCATAAAACGGCCGCCCTGGGTGAACATTATAGTCCCCCAATAGAAACACTGTCTCACATTCACTTTCTTCTACTATAGCATTTAAATAGCTTAAGCAGTCTGTAAAATCTGTTAAGTTTTCAGTGCAATCAACGGGCATATACACACTACACACTATTAGCTTTTGGTTCCGAGATCAACTTTAATGGCACAAATACGAGCACTTGAACACGGTATTACGGATACACAGGGGAACACTCTTTTTCTCCACAGCAGCGCGACCCCCCCATAGGGTCGCCCCTCCAATACTCCAGTCGTCGTGTCCACAGCAGACGTCCCGGTGCTTCCAAAATCAGCATCGATATTCTCAAGATACGACAGGTCATGCGGCAGCAGCCACGTCTCTTGAAGAGCTATTATGTCAGCTGTCTTACATAGCTGACGGACCCCCCTCGTCCGCTTTTTTTACAGATTTACAATTATATGTAAGAAATCGGTTACAAGACATGGCTTTATCATTTCTGTCCATTATGATCTTGGTTTATTAGCCTCGGCACGTTGATTTCCGTGAGAATTGAAATTAACAAAACGTCGGAATATTATTCCTTCAGTCCACAGTTGCTCGTCGAGAAACATGTATAGTTTATGCCTTGGGACGAACATTTTAAACGCATTATATCCCCTTTCTTTGCGCTGAGATATTTTAATAAGAGAGAAATGATCCGCTCGCGAAATTTTATTTCTAAGGATAGTCAGACGGCGCAGTAGACGGTTGAACGGCGTTGAAATGATCCGCTCGAATTATTTTATTTCCAACGGTAGTCGGACGGCACAGTAGACAGTCGAACGGTGTTGAAATGATGCGCTCGTAGGATTTCATCTCTGACGGTAATCGGACGGTGCAGACAGCGGCCGAATAGCGTTAGACAACAGGCGAATAAGGAACGGCGAGTCGAATACCGAACGAATATTAACAGCCGTCGCGATGACCGTTCGGAGGAGTCGACTGCCAATTGCTTGTGAATAGCCGTCGATACAGCCCTTCTGCATTAAGCCGAGTAGTGTGGTTATACCCACTCGGCTTAAGGCGATTCCACGTCGATTAATGTGGGGACTCCCTAAGACTGACTGCCGTGACCAAAGTTTTCTCTGGAGGACACTTAATATATGCTAAGCTTCGTCTAAGCTCGCTGTGATTACTTCCTGCTTGTCAGTGGGCGTAGACACAGATATTTTTAATACCTATAAAGGTAAGTGGATGCTGTGGCCTATTACCTATCTTCTTTGTGCGTAGTTGACTGCATGTAGGTGTCCATGGACTGTAGGTAAAAGATAACGACTTCCCGTCAGGTGAACTCTAATTTCGTTTCTCAAGGGAATAAAAGAAGTGGTACGTACTTTTACATGAAGTGTAGGTAGTTGGATTTTTGATTTTATAATAATAATAATATTTATTACCAATTACTATCGAGAAGAATATTATTTTAAACTTTTTGATTCATGTTTCATCGGATACTTTTTCATGTTTTGTTTATGTTTCAGGACAATCAAGCAGAGGACAGAATAGGTCAAACGGAACACGCGATACTATCTCCTTTACCTTTTAATTGTTCAGATGACAGCGTTAAGGACCCAAATTACGTAAATACTGATGACTATTATTCCGATTCTGACCATAGTGACTTAAATAGTAAGAAACGCGCAATGCGATTTAAAAGAAATAAGTTTGCTGAAAACATTGATCCCATGATTTCAGTTGCGACTAAAAATTCAAGTTCAAGTCAAATTAGTACGCCCAATTCTCACCGAAAAATTGATTATTCAAACAAGCCCAAACCAGGTCCTTCAAAAATATCGTATATGCCACCGAGTAGTTCATCTAGTTCAAGCTCTTCTTCGGGCCCTTCTGACAGTTCATCATCGTCTAGCGATTCTTCAGACACGGAAGAGGATGCAAAAAGAGTTAATGAACAAGTTACAGAACCAGATACAGAAAAAAAATACAGAAATGGATAGAGAACCAGATAGAGAACAAGATTTAGAACAAGTTACAGAACAAGAAATAGAAAAAATACAGAACAGGATATAGAAATGGATAGAGAACAAGGTATAGAACAAGAAACAGAAAAAGATACAGAACAGGATATAGAAATGGATAGAGAACCAGAGAGCGAACAGGGACCTGTTAACCAAGCCTTGCTCACCTTCGATCGTACAAAACCAACCTTACGTCCGCCAAGTAGTGATCTAATTAGATCAGAATTATATACATATGAAAAAACTATTTTTTCGTTTTAAACAAAACCAAAGACACTATGCAATAGATAATAGTACCAAAGACAAGGATATGCTCTTTTATTTTAAAACGTAACCTGGCAATGTTTCTTAGAACAAAAAAAAAAAGAAATCACTTTGTATTTCCGCCATTACGCGTCGCGCGTCGTGCACGAGTGCTCTCATTGTTATAAAGTAATTTATCATTTTGTCTGCAAGAAAAACGTAAGTATTATACATTTTTGTAATCCTTGTGATATAACAAACCCGTAGATATATAATTTGTGGCATAAAGTGAAAAGTGAATGCTAAAAATAGTTTGAAATCGAAATGACGTAGAAAAGTTCAAACGAAATAGTAAATGTAAATGTCTATATTTTACGGATAAATCTAATTGAATACGGTAAAATTCTAATGAAATTACGAGATAATTTCATATTCTTCAAGATTTCGTTCATTTTCCCTATCAAAATTGTATCATAACCTATACACTTGTTCATAAAACGGTCCAATACCTATATAACAATTCAAATATTTCGCCATATTTAGCATATTTGGAGGGATTGCGCGAATTTTATCGATAAGGCGATCAATATGAAGATATTTACAAAAAAAAGTGATAAATTTTACGTATTTTTATTGTACAGACATGTGCTTCACTTTTTTTTCATTTGGATAAATTCAGTATGTATATAGCAATTTCTGCTGATATAATAACATAATATGACCCTATTGTCTATATATTCTCTGCTGAATATATATATATTTATCCCTATATATCATATATATATAATATAACATGAATATATATATAATATCATAGGCATAACTATGTACTATGGTATGTAACAATTATTATTTTCTTTTTTAGCATGTGGAACCCCGGAAACAACCCAGTTCCCCAGGTCTTCATCGATGTCCTTTTCGATGAGGAGGAAGCCGAAGAAGTGGTCATCGAGGAAGAGGCGGTCATCGATGAAGAGGTTGGGGAACAAGGTGACTGGGATGTATCTGTAAGTAATATTTATATGTAACATCACACACAAGTATAGATAAATAGACACTTATAGATATTAACGGGTTCATTTTTCAACAGAACATGCCAATGTACTATATGCGGTCCGACGGGTCATGGGGGGACCTGTTGGAGTTGGTGGTAGAGCCTGCGGAGGTGTCTGTAAGTTATATTTATAGCATCAGTCATTTATTTATGTTTATTATATATAAATGTTTGCAGCCCAATAAAAATGTGTTTATTATTTCAACAGGGGTCACCTGCTCCGGCTCCGGCTGCAGCTCCAGTGGCTGCTCCGGAGGCTGTACCAGGCCCCGCACCCCGCAGAGTGGAAGTAAGTATAACAAAACATCAGTAATGAAATGTTTCTATGTAAATTTTTATATTTCAGCTAGTATTTATATAAATATTTATTTATATTTATTATATATAAATGTTTGCAGCCCAATAAAAATGTGTTTATTATTTCAACAGGGGTCACCTGCTCCGGCTCCGGCTGCAGCTCCAGTGGCTGCTCCGGAGGCTGTACCAGGCCCCGCACCCCGCAGAGTGGAAGTAAGTATAACAAAACATCAGTAATGAAACGTTTCTATGTAAATTTTTATATTTCAGCTAGTATTTATATAAATATTTATTTATATTTATTATATATAAATGTTTGCAGCCCAATAAAAATGTGTTTATTATTTCAACAGGGGTCACCTGCTCCGGCTCCGGCTGCAGCTCCAGTGGCTGCTCCGGAGGCTGTACCAGGCCCCGCACCCCGCAGAGTGGAAATAAGTAAAACAAAACATCAGTAATGAAATGTTTCTATGTAAATTTTTATATTTCAGCTAGTATTTATATAAATATTTATTTATATTTATTATATATAAATGTTTGCAGCCCAATAAAAATGTGTTTATTATTTCAACAGGGGTCACCTGCTCCGGCTCCGGCTGCAGCTCCAGTGGCTGCTCCGGAGGCTATACCAGGCCCCGCACCCCGCAGAGTGGAAGTAAGTAAAACAAAACATCAGTAATGAAATGTTTCTATGTAAATTTTTATATTTCAGCTAGTATTTATATAAATATTTATTTATATTTATTATATATAAATGTTTGCAGCCCAATAAAAATGTGTTTATTATTTCAACAGGGGTCAGCTGCTCCGGCTCCGGCTGCAGTTCCAGTGGCTGCTCCGGAGGCTGTACCAGGCCCCGCACCCCGCAGAGTGGAAGTAAGTAATAAATATATATATATACAACGTGTCCCAAAATTCAACGATAAGCCGACACCGGAGGATAGACCTGCCCCGGACTAATCGGGGAAAAAAAGAAAAAATATATATCCCAATTATATTTTAAGTTATATAAAAAAAATGAAATTCTTCAGAAATTGAGACCGTTTATGATATTTTTCTTGGGTTGGTTGCGTGGAGCACCCTACGTGCAAATTTTCTTAATTGACACGGATTTGCCCTTGGATATTCAGGGGCAAATCCGTGATCATTCCATTAGAAGGGAGAGGTACGAAAGAAGAAGGATAAATGCAAATCAGGAAGAGGAGAATGTGAGGGAGGATGAATGGGATTGGGATGAAGATAATAGTTTTGAGTGGGGAGGGATGAACGAGTGGAATGGCAGGCAATGCCATTTTGTGCCAGAACAGAAGATTGGTTTCAGACCAATCTACATGAAATCCGGGCGCTAATGGCATTTTGGATCATGCTTGGCATTGTTAGAATGCCAAGCATTAAATCATGTTTCTGCAAGCACCCACTACTGAGAACTGACGTATTTCGCTCATTATTCACGGAAGGCCGCTACTGGAACCTCAATGCGGCATTTCATTTGGCCGCGGGGACAGACCCTAATAATCTGCTGCACCCAATGGGTCCCATTATCGACCATTTGAATGCCAAGTTCCAGGAGTTATACCAGCTGGACCGGAACATATGTATTGATGAATCGCTAACTCTTTGGAAAGGGCCAGTTAGGTTTCAACAATACATAAAGTCCAAGGCAGCCCAGTTTGGTATAAAAACCTTGCAACTGTGCGAGTCGGCCACAGGATACCTTTGGTCGTTCTTCGTGTATGCGGGCCGCGAGACAGGGAGTAGGGTACCGGTCAGCGTGTCCTCTGTGTTGAGGCTCATACAACCTATCCTCAACCGGGGGCACACGCTGTACATGGACAATTGGTTCAATTCCCCCTCCCTGGCTCGTTGGCTAAAACGCCGCAACACGGACTGCGTCGGTACCCTGCGGCCGACTCGCAAAGGGGTTCCAGAACTCATCAAACGTGCACCCTTACAGGAAGGGCAATTTATTGCCCGTGCGTACGACGACATGGTTGTTGCGCTACAAGATCGCAAGTGAGTGACTTGTATCTCAACATACCATGGCGTCTCGCAACAACTATTTGCCGGACGTTCGGGCCACACTGCACAATACAAGCTCGATTTGATAAACGATTATAATCGGTACATGGGGGGAGTTGACCGCCTTGACTCGATGCTGGAGGCCTATCTAGTCGAGCGGAAACAATGTTTGAAATGGAACCGGAAAGTTTTCAAACGCCTTTTGAATGTTTCCATTCAAAACGCAAGGGTCATTGTTGAGAAATCAACCAACACCAAACTCGATTCCGTAGCGTTTCGGTTGGCGTTGGTTGACAGCATTATAAACCGCCATCTCAAAATGGTACCTCGCCAGCCAATCCCTGCTCAACACAATAGACACCCTACCTTTCCATTACAGAGGCTGACAGAGCGCCACTACATTCGCCGCATACCCATGCCAAGTCGAGAGACAACGGCAGATGCGGTGGAGAGACCGCCAAAGATATACAGACGACGTGCGTGTGTGTGGTGCACGGAACAGAAGCACCGCAGAGTACTCACGTCGTATGAGTGTAAGCAGTGTGGGCTGGCGCTCTGTATGAGTGACTGTTTTGAAGAATTTCATGAAACTCCGTAAAGGTATTTACGGAGTTTTGTGAAATTCGTGGAGGGTGATTGTAATGGAAGGGGGTTACAAAGGAGCAAACAGTCCACCTGATGGTAAGTGGTTGGTGTGGCCCATTGACCTGTGAGGAATGACTCGTTTCCAGTAAAAAGGGTCAAAGGCTCTCCGGTTTCTTTAGGGTGATAAACGAGCACACAGTCTACCTGATGGTAGGTGATTGCTGTGGCCCATAGACATCTACATCTACTCCCCCGTGATCTGTGAGGACTAAGATGGAAGACCTCGTTTCCAGTAAAAAGGGTTTCTGGTCTCCTCTACCCCACCAGTATCGAGCTTGTATTCTGTGAGAGCGTGGTCCTTCCCTTTTTCTTCCTTCCTTTCATTTTTTTTATAGTTTACGGTGAAAAACGAGCACACAGTCCACCTGATGGTAAGCGGTTGCAGCGGCCCTTAGACATCTACATCTATCCCCCGTGACCTGTGAGGACTAAGATGGAATGCCTCGTTTCCAGTAAAAAGGGATCTCCGGTCTCCTCCTCTTTGTCTTTTTTTATAGGTAAGGGTGACAAACGAGCACACAGTCCAACTGATGGTAAGTGTTTGCACTGGCCCTTTGACATCTACATCTTTCCGTGACCTATGAGGACTAAGATGGAATGCCTCGTTTCCAGTAATAAGGGTCTCCGGTCTCCTCCTCGTCCTCAGTAGTGGGTTCAAGAAGGATATGAATGGGTATGAATGTTGACTGAAAGAATGTGGACTGAAAGAATGTTTAATTTGAAAAGAAAAATTGTACAAAAAGGGTTATTATAATAACCCCGGTGAATGCGGTGATCGCCACCATGCTGGTTCTATAAAAATTCATTCAGAAATTGTAAAAGAATAAATTTATTGTAAATTTAATATAAAATCATTACAAAAAGTCAAACAACCGAATTTGATTATTGCCGGCTACATTGCAAAAAGTTATCGAATCGAATATACCAGCGACGCCACATCACTATTTGCTCCATACATTTGTTCAAATATATTTTATTTCTTGTGTTTTGTATTTTGTGCATTGAATTGTATATGTTTATTGTAAATAATAATAAAAATGTACTTTTCTAAACATATTTCATTTGTGTCGAAACATATTTGAGTGTGTTATATGTGAATTTATGTTGAAAAACTTCCGTTTTCGTGGTTGAGTAAGAAATGTGTTATTTTTCCATTTTCATTTATTTTTACTGTATAATGTAAATAAAAAATAATTATATTACATATTTCAAATAATTTGGTGTTGTATTTATTTCAAAATCACAAAAAATATTAGAGAAATAGTGTTTCAAAGTTCATATAATAAAATTGAATTTCGGAAAACAAGGGTTATGTTTGATTCCTAATTATTTGTTTTTTTTGTATGGGTTACGAATAAAAACACATAAAAACATAAAACTATATTTATTTCCAAACATTTTCATATAGATTACTTGAAAAACAAACTTGTGGAAATTATTTTATTAATATTTTCGTGGCTAAAAGTGGAGTATTTACAACTACTATGCATTTCAAAGGGTAATTTATGAATTTTATTACTATATCTAACATCCAAAAATTATTTTATTCGATAGTTTATACATTCAAGAAGAATTCCTGTAAGTTTTATTCAAAAATATTGTCTTAAAGACAAAATATAGCAGAATTTGCAAGTTAGGGAAATTTTTTCATTTGCCGCCATTTTGAGGTCCTGAGCGAACGGGAGTATAACGTGTCGCGCGCTGTCAGAGCGTACAGGTTAAGACTGTTAACGATAAAACGTCAGACATGGCTATTTTAGAGCAAGATCGTCGAGGCAAACACAAGAACCATGCTTATCTTGATCCTTTTACATAGAGACAATGTTGCTGAATGTGAATGAATAGGTTTACCTTTTGGTAATTATCCAGCATATTACAATATATTTTGTACCGAATACAATATGGCATTCTTCAAACCTAAAAAGGACCAATGCGAACCCTGTACAAATTATACTAATGCGACTGAAGAAGACAAACAAATTATGAAACATGATTATGAACTTCACCTAAAGGAAAAACAACCAGCAAGGGATCAAAAACACGAGGACAAAAACTGTACTCCGGACAATTGTATAGTATCCGTTTATGATCTACAAGCTGCAATGCCTTGTCCTAAAGGTGATACGTCGACATTTTATTACCTATCCAAGTTGAACTGCTATAATTTAACTATTTATGATATTAAAACCAAAGATGTGAACTGTTACGTATGGCACGAAGGCGAAGCTAAACGTGGAGCTATTGAAATTGGTACCTGTGTACTAAAATACATTGAAAGTCTGGAAGAGACCGCCAAAAAACTTTCAAAATTGGATTTGATATTTTACTCAGATAATTGCTGCGGATAGCAGAAAAATCATTATTAGATTGCAGTATACATTTTTGCTGTGCATAATTATCCCCTTGTCTGTGCGTCGACCAGCAGTCGGCACGTCAAATTATTTGCGCGTCTGTGAGCCGACCAGCAGTCGGCATCGTTTCCTGTTTATGTTTTCGCGCTCTTTACGACGGAACTACGATGCGTTTTTTAGGTGCGACACTTGAAATCATAGACTAATAATATATACTCAGTGTCAAACTGCTTTACTGTTACTCTTTGCTCCGTAAAAAAAAAAATATCGGCACTTCAAATTGGACGCTGTCAAACCAACCGACTCCGGTTTTGTCACGCCTTTGATAAGTTTTCTTGAATCAAAGGGGACAATCATTTTTGGGCCCACTAAAAATATTAACGTCACTTAATGGTATTACATCAAAAAAAAGACACCAAATTATAATAGTAAATGGCCTACAG